TATATAAATTTTCATATTTATATATGTAAATATTTCTTAAATATTTATATTTTTAAACTTATATACATATAAATATACACAGCACACACATATATTATATGTAAACACAAGCTTTTATTGTGGATGCAATTAATCACGATTAATCGATTTGACAGCACTAATTTATTCATAATTCATAATATGATTTAATAAAGATGACTCAACCCCTGAGTAGATTTCACAGATTTAAGTATGAAATGACAAAGTAACTACATTTAAAGATATTTAAAAAACTAAACAAAAAAAAAAACTTATATTATAAAAAATATATTACAAAACAAGTGACTTAATGTGACAAAAAGTAAAAGCAAATTAGTAAATCAGCAAATAGCAAATAAACCTAGATAATTTATAAAATGAATAATAAATAAATAATAAATAAAATATTAAATAAATAAATATATATTTCACAAAGAATGCTGAGGAAGTAAAAATATATATGGAACTATAATGATTCAAAACTGCCAATATGTGGACATCACACTATTACAGTTGATTCATAAACATGCATAAGATATATTTAAGACCATTTACACAGCTAATATTTGTGATTCACTGCATAACGTTGTTACACAGTACACAGTTGTCAACTACAGCAACTAGCAGCCAGGAGTATACTGACCCACACTCAGCATTTTTATACAGTGTTTCACTATCATAAGTATTTATGAAGTGAAGTGAATCTCACTAATTCTTTGTAAATGATGTATTTATTGTAAATATATAGTACTGCGACTTGAATGAACAGCTATGAAGAGTGCTGCTGAGATATTTAACCCTCATCTCACATGAATCACCCAGAGTTTCGACCGAGCAGCGAGGCAGTTGTACCAGCTGTCATTCTGGGCTTGTTTTTGCCTCGGCTGGCCAAGCCAAATGTGAGAATGAAGAGATTTATGGTTGCGGAGAGGGAAATGCGCTGGTAATACCCTAATCAAGCATTCATGCCCGCTCGCTAGCAGCTTTCAACAACTCTGTCTCCAGAACAAACATTTTCACAGCACGCAAACGCCATTATTCTGAGCTGGTGAATTTTTGTGTATGTAATGCCAGATAAACCCTTCACACCCAGTGCCAAAAGCTATGCTTCTTTCAGGATGCATGTGGTAAACATGTGATTCATGCACCTCATTGCAATATCAGGTGACTTTATTTAAGGGTGTATGTCTCAGAAGTAGGTCTGGTGAGTTATCTGTAATACTCCTGCTCCCCTTCTGCCCCCCATCTCAGCGGGAACCCAGCCGTGAAATTACCATCAGATACAACACACACACACACACACGTACAGAGCGAGTGAGAGCCGGGTTGATAAATAAACCATTTCTGTTTTACAGAAGGGCCAAGGGTTGCTGGATCCAAACACATAATATAAATTCTCGAGAGGAACAGAAGAGCGTGTGCACCAGCAAAACTCCTTTGCTAAAGGCAACCGTGATCAATCAACCCAAAATGCACACGCAACATACACACATACACATATAGTAAAGGTTCTTTAATGAACCCTTTTCTTATCATGAATAATTTTTCATGTCCATGGTGCTTTAAAAAACCATCAAGAACCATGTTAATGGTGCTTTAGAGATGAAAAAACTCTTGATAGTTTTTTTCAGATCACTGTATTGGTTATAGCTACACTAAAAAAAATGAGTAGAAACAATTTTCACTTTGAAATCTATGGAAGCCCATTTCCACCACTGAATAAAAAATAAAAAAGGTGATTTCATGTCTTTATCTCACAATTCTGACTTTTTCTCTTGTAATTGCGAGTTTACGTCTCTCAATTCTGACTTTTCTTCTCAGAATTAAAGATAAGATAAACTCACAATTGCGTTATAAAAAAAGTCACAAATGTGAGATATAAACTTGCAATTCTCATAAAAAAAAGTCAGAATTGCGAGATGTAAACTTGCAATTGCGAAAAAAGTCAGAATTGTAACCTTTTTGAATTGTGACCAAAGTACCTTTTTTAATTTTTTATTCAGTGGCAGAAACGGGCTTCCTTAGAAATCGCTACACACTAATTTTTGGTTCTATAAAGAACCATCCAGTCAAAGGTTCTTTAAAGAACAATCTCTTTCTTACCTTTTTATGATCTAAAAAACCTTCTTTCGCCACAAAGAATCTTTTGTGAAACAGCAAGGTTCTTCAGATGTTAATGGTTCTTTACGGTAGGTTATTTTATTAAGCCATTTAGACAAAAAGGCTATTCTATGGCATCGTGAAGCACCTTCATTTTTAAGAGTGTAGTAAATTTGACAAACAATTACATAGAAATGGCAAGTAACTCATTTTTTGTACAAATAAAAATAGTTTTTGTAAAACGTCCCTAAAAAACCTTTGAAAAAATCGTTTTTTTACAGTGGGCCTAGATGAAATCTGCAAACTTTTCAGCCAATTTGTCTGCTGATTTTGGTAAATTCAGGGGAATATTTTTTCCATTATTTATACATTGTGGTCAGTTGAAAAAAGTCTCTCACCAAGGCTACATTTAATAAAAAAAAATACAGTAAAACCATTAATATTATAAAGTATTATCACAACTTAACAGAACTGTTCTCTATTTTAATATATTTTAAAATGTAATTGATTTCTGTCATGGCAAAGCTACATTTTCAGCAGTCATTACTAGTCAGTCTTCGGGGTTATATTAACCTTGAGAAATCATTCTGGTTGATGATTTGGTGCTCAAGAAACATTTATAATATTATCAATGTTAAAAAGAGTTGCTTAATATTTGTGTGAAAACCATAATACATTTTTATCAAGATCTTTTATGAACAAAGTTCTAAAGCATCTAACAGCATTTACTTGAAACAGAATTTTTTAAACAGTGAAAATTCCTTATTGTCACTTCTGATCAATTGCCGAATAAAAGTATTAATTTCTTTCTTTCTTTCAAAAAAAAAAACTTTTAAATGGTAGTGTAAATTTGAATATTTCTGAAGTGAGTCACATACCCTAAATATACCCAAAAGATCAATGTAGTTTGATGCACTTCTGATTTCAAAGGAAGTTTGCTTGTCGCCCCACACTTACCCCAAGGTCTTTTCCAGCCCACTTGCATTCATCGCGTTTGGAAGGTGTGGCGGGCCAGGCGATCTATAAAACAAGGAAAGAGAGAAGGTGTGAGAATGTGTGCGGAGCGAACACAGTGACCTGCAAATGACTGACTAAGGCACTCGGCATGAAACCTGGCCGTAAAATAATCAACGACTGCTGCCTGCCGTCCTTCTGCCACCTCCATCTGTGACGACGATGAAGACAGAGGATACAAACTACCATTCCTCTTATCCAGGGAGCAAGAGATACATACACACACACATACATAGGCCTACAAAGCGTTTTTTATTCTGTGTTATCTTCCTCTAAGATCTGCTAAGGTATTCTGTCTGTGAAAGTAATTTGCTTAATTGCGATAATTTGCCAAGTTCTTATCTTTAAACGATGGCATTGCATGATTTCTGTGTGTGTTCAATAAAAGCCAGCTTTAACCCTTACGAGGATCGAATATAAAGCAAATGATCTGCAGCCTCCAGGACAAAGAAAGAATAAAAGCACGAAAAAGAAAGAGGAAACCAAAGTAATGGAATCCAGAGAGAGAAAGAAAGAGCGATTGAGAGAGATAGAAAGCAAAGCATTACGCTGCAGATATGATCAGGGAATGAAAAACAGAGGGAGGCAGGCTGAGATCAAATCGGCAGATGGAAAGAAGGAGAAAGTGATTGCAGATCTGGGTTGTGCAGCTAATAAGAGCGAGATGGACATCTCTGATGACCCTGGGTTTCTCCGACACACTTCATAAAATCCCTCACCGATCATTCTTGCTAAATGCAGACAGAGGGAAACAGCATGAATTACCATTCACAACATATTTTACTGCTAAAATGTAACCTGTTTCCAAGGTAAGCAAGATATTCAGCTTGAAAAATGGAAGGGCGCAGTTTGATTTGATCATGAAAAATGGAGTTTCTATATCAAGCTGAATGCAAGTTTGCTTAAAAAAAAAATCTCAATTTAGCTCATGATTAACACCCTGTGCGGCCTAAGTGACATGGTATTCGAGGAAGATTTTGACTACACTGTAAAATCCAATAGTTTACCTTACTTAGATTTAATTAGTAATCTTTACTTAGTTGTTATACTTACTAGGTTTTATTAAGTTACAGCTACTTTCAAGGCAAATAAAACAATTTACTTACTGTTTTGAGTGACACTTACTTAAAATATTCAAGTAGCCACAAAGGAACCAATGACATTAATAAACCAATGAGAGGCAGCAGTGCACTAATCTGTTGCTAATGTGCAACATAACAACAGAAGAAGAAGAAAAGAAAACGAGTCTTAATAGACTTTTCACCCATTTCCTCCATGTCTGCAGTTATCTTTCACTAGTTGCATTCACTCGTTTCCCAGTCATCATGAATGTTGAATTTTCAATACAACTGAAATATTTGAGAGAACATCACATAAGCTGACTTCATATTCAATTGATGTTGATTTTCCTAAAATGTGTTTTTTTTTAACTCACCATTATAGTGATATTAGCATTCCCTTTGGTTGGGCACTTGGAATTTTGTTTATGTTACTATAATTATCTTCGTGTTAATGCAGCAATGCAATATGAAATCTGAGTAATTTGGTTTCAAGGGAAGAAAAGTAATAAATAGGTTGCTTTTAGAAGGGGACCTATCTTCTAATTAAATCAATACTGTATTATTTTATGTGCTTGTGTTAGTCAATATACTTTTGCAAAATTTATTTTTCATAAATACCTTAAGAAGCTTATAATTGGGTTTATATTATCCTTAAATAGTGTGAGGTAAAATGCTAAAGTCACACACAGACTTAAACATTCAGCACGCGAATCACAATGGTAACAATTCAATTTCATTTATTTTTATTAATTGTAACAATAACCATTTTATTTGCTCTTTTTGTTGTGCTACTACTGACACAAGACAGCAAATAAAATTGGCAAATAAAATCAACAACTGTAAAGCAAAGCAACTGCATAATTTATTCATACCGCAATGCACTCTGGGAGTCAGTGAGTAGCTATAAGTCATGAGTAAACCTAAATGAAAGGATTAAGTACCCCCTACAGTTCTTTTTTAGTTACTAGAACTCTCGTGTAAGTAAACTATATTAACTAAGCATTTGTCAGTACAACATACTATTCCTATTTCACTTTACTTAGTTTTTTCAAGGCAATCGGTTTGCATGCTTTTTTTAAGTAAGCCCAACTAATTAGATTTTACAGTGTAGTTAATTTGAATATGAAGACTCTTCAAATAGCATGCAATATGAATCGCTCACAATAAGACCAGGAACATACATTCATCTATGCTGATGTTAAGGTAAGCACCTGTTTGACGTCTCTGTTGATGTTGACCAGGTCAAAAGAGAAGACGTGATCCTCCGCTCCAACAAGTAATCTTCCTCTCTCCTCATCCATCAGGAACGTGTCGTAACCTGAACTGTTTGCCAAGCCAGTGAAAGTCACTAGATTACTGGATTCCAGCATTTCTGAAGGACAGAACAAAAAAAGAAGGCATACATAACTTAGAACTCATTTGCTTTATAAAACAGTAAACAGAAAGAAGCTTGTGTCAGGTTAGAAGAAAGTCCAACAAGTATGCTCATAAATGTTATTTATACATACATACAGGTAGGTACCAAAAGGTATTTTATTTATTGTTATTAATGTTATTTATTTGTTATGTATATTTATTTATTTATTTATAATTACAAATTTAAATATGCACCTATTTATTTAAATGAAAAATATTTCAAAATAACAGCTGAAATCATTTTTTTGTTTCAGGTTAGCAGAAAACGTAGTAAGTAGGTCGCATAATTTATTGCTGATAACACTATATACTTTCATATAATATTCATTCATTCATTCATTCATTCATTCATTTACTTATGTTTAAAATAATTTTAAATAATACATTGCTGATATTGTTACATACAGTGGGTACGGAAAGTATTCAGACCCCCTTAAATTTTTCACTCTTTGTTATATTGCAGCCATTTGCTAAAATCATTTAAGTTAATTTTTTTTCCTCATTAATGTACACACAGCACCCCATATTGACAGAAAAACACAGAATCGTTGACATTTTTGCAGATTTATTAAAAAATAAAAACTGAAATATCACATGGTCCTAAGTATTCAGACCCTTTGCTCAGTATTTAGTAGAAGCACCCTTTTGATCTAATACAGCCATGAGTCTTTTTGGGAAAGATGCAACAAGTTTTTCACACCTGGATTTGGGGATCCAGATCCCAGATCCTCTCCAGTTCTGTCAGGTTGGATGGTAAACGTTGGTGGACAGCCATTTTTAGGTCTCTCCAGAGATGCTCAATTGGGTTTAAGGCAGGGCTCTGGCTGGGCCATTCAAGAACAGACACAGAGTTGTTGTGAAGCCACTCCTT